CGGCAGCCCCGCTCTCCAGCCCGGTTAAAACCTCCTGGGCGGCTTCTCCAGCGTTCGTACGAGACGCCTGTAGAAACGAGTCCAAATCAACAGTCACGCTACAAGCCAAGGGCCGTAACACAAACTCAGCGAACTCACCTCGCTGATTTCCCTTACTTAAAAACAAAAAGGGTGCAAAACTCTCCGTTCCGCCCCAAGCGTGGGCTCCGGCGGCCTTGCCAGGGTGCAGCGTGTTCCCGACCCTTATCTGAGCGTGAGTCAGGGCCTTTCTCCAGCAAAGCAACCTTTCACTCCGTATTTCCAGGGCTTTGAATGCTTGGTTTAAAAATAAAAGCAAAATAAAATAAACTCTTCCAGCCCTGATATATTGGTACAATTATATTTACTTCAACTGAATCTCAACTCCATCACAGTGCCGTTCTTCCTGTGGGATTTAGCTCATGTTTGCAAAGCTCCTGATTTATGACGGACTGTTGAAAACTATGTTTAGGGCTGCTCTACAGCTGAGGCTCTGCCGTGCTTTCATGATCATCACTGTTGTCAGACCACTCCTTACCTCAAAGACCCTCTGACAGTTCTCTTTCCCCCATCCTCACTGTCTTGCTTCCCAGCTTTCCCCAGCACAGCTGTAGTCCTTGGGAAGCAGTCCTATTGCAACAGTATCAAGAAGACAAGCAGACGGCAAGTTTACTTTCCTGTACTGGGTGCTGTTGTTCCGGTGACATGCTGTTCATCACACATCTGTGGTGTGTATTCACCCTTTCAGGGCGCAGGGCTCTGCGTTAATCCCAAACGTTTCCTTGTTTCCTCCAGACCCTGTTGCTCTCATCTCCTCAGGCTTTGGTACATGTTGTTTCCCTTCTCCTGTGGCCCTCTCTGCTGCAAGGTCACCCCTTGATGCTGTGGGACAATGCCAGAGAGACCTCACCCACCAGAGGCAACTCCTCAGGGCATGTGAAGAACAAATTTGTGTTTAGCTGATGCGGAAAGCCTCCAGCCACCAGAAGGCTTGGCTTGGCTTCCAAGTTGTGAAGGGATGGAAAATGGGGAGTGGGGGGAAGTACATGCCAGTTCCAAAAAAGCCGAAGCAAAATCCCACACCTAGGAAAGCCAAGCATGTTTCAGCGTGGAGGAGAGTGATGACTAGAGGTGTTGGCAAGGACGTGGAGACACAAAGCAGGTTAGCGTGAGAGGTGAGCTGAAACAGGCGTTTGCCACCAGGAAACCTTACTAACTGCTGTTTTTCCGTTTTGTGGCAGGTGATGGACAGCTCGATGCCCCTGATTGGGGAGCACGTGGAAGAGGACAGACAGCTTATAGCCGATCTGGTTGTTTCCAGAATGACTCAGCTTGTCATCGCTGCTGGATCTACGCCATCACCGCTGAGGCCTTGGGTATGAGCAAATAGAGACATTATAGCCAAGTTGTTTTCCTGAACCTTTTTCTTTCTCTCTCCTCCCTGTGGGTGTCAGGCAGTCAGACATCTCGGAGAGCTGAACAGTCCCCTGTGGGAGGACATTGGATACATGGACTCTTGCTCTTCCAGAGAAGTGTCTCCTAGACTCTTTAAAGTGGGTGCCCCTAAGAAACACCTCTCTCTCTCTTCCTCTCCTTCCGTATAACTGTGGCATCACACCAGTAGTATGGTCCATGCATCTAGACATTCTGGCTTGCTAAATTCATAGATTCATATTGAAGAGTCCTTTTCAGAGGTGTTTGTAACACCTGACTTCATCTCCACCTAACACCATCCCTCAGGACAGGTTTCCTTCCAGTTTTTCCATCCCTGATGAAAATCTGTGCTTCCCAGAACTGAAAGCGGAAATCTCCACCAAGAATTGCTCCATTCCTTACTGCAGCCCTTCTTCTTTGGAGATGTCCTCCACTCCCTTCATCAGAGGGAGGCTTGACTAATGCTGAATTCATACAAGCACCTGTCACTTTTGCATTTAAACTGACCCCTTAATGCTTCTCATGTGCATTCATTTTAAGTATCAAATGCATCTAATCTTAGTGCCACATTTTCCGGTGGCAATTCTGTATAAACAAAACACACCAGAAAATAATCTGTGTCTCCAGGTGTATGTGCTACACCTCTTTCAGTATCTAGCAGGGAGCCAAGCATGAAGGTTTGAGGACAACAAATCTGTACAAAACAAAGGACAGGAGAGCAAGTGGGCTGAGAGATAACACTGACTGCAACACACTGGAACAGTTTCCATTTCCCCTTGAGACAAAAAATGGGAGAAAGGACTTGATGGTTTTGCACCTGTACAGGCTCGGGGCTGACCTGCTGGAGAACAGCTCTGTGGAGAGAGACCTGGGTGTCCTGGTGGATGAGAAGTTGACCATGAGCCGGCAGTGTAGCCTTGTTGCCAAGAAGGCCAACGGTATGCTGGGGTGCAGTAAGAAGAGTGTGGCCAGCAGGTCGAGGGAGGTTCTCCTCCCCATCTACTCTGGCCTAGTGAGGCCCCATCTGGAGTACTCTGTCCAGTTCTGGGCTCCCCACTTCAAGAAAGAT